CGCCTTCCCTGCCACAGCAGCAGCAGCAAGTTGAGCCTGTGTCGGGGGTGCCGACGGCGGCGATGTTGCCGACGCCGTTCGAGACGCCCGAGGGAACGCCCAAGCCGACGCCTGGGCGTGGGAGGGAGGAGGAAGCCGGGGAAGGGGATGCCAAGGAGGAGAGCGTTGGGGCCAGGACGAGGGGGGCGAGGAAGGCAGCGGCGAAGCGGAAGAAGGGGGATGAGGAGGGAGAAGACGCCGGTCAAAAAGAAGACGGTGGTGAAGAAGAAGGCTGAAGGGGAGGGAGAAAATGCTGAGGGGGAGGGGGAGGGTGACGCGGCTCCCGCCGCCGAGGCCGATGCCGATGCCGAGGGTGCGGCTTCTCCGCCCCGTCCCCGCGTCCCCCGCATCCCTGCCAACCTCCCTGGTCCTCCCTTTGCCTGTCCCTTCCCCGGCTGCACCAAATCCTTTGCCACGTACGGCTCGCTCTGTTCGCACCGCAAGATCCACGGACTCCGGCGGCGTCACGCGTGCCCCACCTGCGGCAACCTGTTTATGCGTCGTCAAGACCTTGACCGCCACCGCGCCACGCATCTGATGTACGATGAGTTTCCGTTTGCGTGTGACGCGTGTGGAAGAAAGTTTAAGAGGAAGGATGCGATTGCGAGGCATTTGAGGGTTGGAGGGTGTGAGAGGGCGAATGCGGAGGGGGCCAAGAAGAGGAAGGAGGAGGAGGAGGAGGGGGGGAGGAAGAGGAAGGCGGCGGCGGGGAAGAGGAAGGGGGTGAAGGTGGCGGTGGTGGTGAAGAAGGCGATCAAGGAGGAGGAGGGGGCGGAGGAGGAGGGGATGGAGGAACCGGAGTTTGAGGAGCCCGTTGAGAGCGAGGAGGAGGACTGAGTGGGTTGGTTTGGTTTGTAAATGCTTTTTTTGATGGATCACTTTCTTATGTTTTCTTTTTTGGCTTTCTTTACGTCCTTTGACCGACTAAGCGCTTATAGCAGGTTTCTATTCCGCTTATGTTTTTCTTTTAATGGGCTACCACCCCATGTTTTGAAGTCTTTAAGGAGAAATGGTGTTTAATGAAAAACAAAAAAAACGCGTTGGTCTTGAAGTTAGTAGGCATGTCGGTTTTTCATAAAATAGCGGGGTTTTGTCTTGTGGGAGGATCAGGATGTCATTTATGGCCGTGAGCCGCCAGCCTGAAGCGTGGAGGCGTGCATGCTGGTGATATGAGACGTCCAACCCCCCAGATCGTTAACCCGTTTCTCGCGAATTGGGAACGAACGTTACATGGTTAGCGATCGGCAGATTTCCGTCTTTAGCGCTAATAATTGGGTCGGGAGGCATATGGCATTCGAGAGATCTGGGAGAGTGGACTTTTTACATCTCGAGCATTCAACCCGATCTCGGGGTTGGTTGTTGGGCTTATTTAGAAATATCCCCGACCCCTTTTAACGGCTAGGTATCCAAAGAGACACAAATGCCGTCGCCCTCTGCATGTTGAGGCGTCGTCCATTCCTCACGCCACCTTTCCAAACCTACTCTGGGCGAATTAAGGGGAAAAAAAAAAACTAACTTAATAAAATCATTAAAAAATTATGCCCTCATCCGGATTTGAACCAGAGATCTTCGCATTAAATGTACATTACGCGTTTTTGTGTAACGCCGAGTAGTACAAGTGCGACGCCTTAACCACTTAGCCATAAGGGCGCTCGTCAGGAAGGTTTCTCTCGGAGGGAGTCGAACCCTCGGCCACTGACTGGCATCAAGGCGCGGGGCCCTCATAAGATCAGCGCTCTACCGAACTGAGCTACGAGAGAGGATTCCTAATTTTCCGTTTTCGAACGACGGCAATTTGGGTACTTGAGGCGGTGGAGGGGTGCCACGGGTTTGGGCAAATGGAAAATTTGGGTGCGGATAAATCCGTCGTCTCCTCGGAGGCCGTCCTGTTGCGCGGTGTCACCTAATTTTTTTGGTTTGGGATGGCAGAGTGGAGATAAGAGCTAGAACTTGAAGACGAAGTGGTCAAGGGACATACCTAGCACTTACTGTAGCGGATCATGTTCTGAGCTCCTGTGTGCATCGGTTCTGCATGGTCTTGATCTCAGTATGGTCTCACCTTTCGAAAGATCATGATCCTTGGGACATTCCCGCACAGCGATAACCGACGAAAGTCCGCAACTGTGGCTGTGTCTGGCTGACAAAAGCAAAAAGAGTTGAGACGACTTTTGAAGGAAAGACACAAAGTAAAAGCAGATCACCACCGGTGACAACGGCCATCCCAAAGAGCCGTCGTCCCATGCAAAGGAGGCAAAGACGACCCTAAAGGCCTCACCTTAAGCCCGTCGTCGGCTCGCAGCCCCGGGCCCGACGGAGGCAAGTGCCTCCCGGCGGTCAACGGGATCCTCGAGGCTCTGAAGGGGACGATCGCCTCGCCAGAGGATATTGGGGGAGGGGGGGTGCTACCTGTGCGCTCAACTTTTTGGACGGTGCCACAGCGTGCAAGACAGCCAAGACCAATTCGAAACTTGGATTTCAACAGAAACCCCCCTTTGACGTCAGAAAGCCCACCCCTTGGATCCTCCCCCTCCGCCGCCCCGCATCATCTTTCTTCATCCCATCGAGCCCTCATCGACACAACGCATTCCCCCCCCACCTCAACCGAGTCATGCACCTCCTCACCCTCACCACCCTCGCCCTCCTCCTCCCCCTCCCCATCCTCTCCCTCCCCCAACAACCCTCCCAACCCCCAACCCTCCCCGCCTGCGCAACCTCCTGCATCTCCGTCGTCCTCCCCACCTCCGACCTCTCCCGCACGCTCTGCGCCGCCATCGACGCCCTGTTCGCGACCCCCGCCACCGCCGCGGGCTTCAACGACTGTCTGGCTGCCAACCCCGTGTGCGCGGTCGACGCTGCGACGGTGGCGGAGGCACTTAATAAGGCGTTTGCGGAATGCAGCAGCGGCGGGGAAACGTCCTCCACTGCCGCGGTGTCCTCCTCCACCACCACCGCGACCACCACCTCGGCCACCGCCACGACGTCAACAACCACCTCCTCGGCAACGACCTCGGCAACCTCGAGCCTGGCGTCCACCACCACCTCCGTCGCCACCACCTCCACCTCCGCCACCGTGCTCCCCACCACCCTGCCCCCCGGCACCTCCACCGCGGCCGCCCCGACCCTGAAACCCACCCTCGCCATCGCGTCGACTTTCTCGAGGGCCTTGACCACCGAGACGATCCCGTTTGCTACCGAGCCCCCAACCTCCACGCGGTCGTCGGGGGCTGCAAAGTGGGACGGGGTGGTGGCGGCGGTGGTGGTGGCGGCGGCGGCGGGTGTGGCGTTGTTGGCGTAAAAGAGGGTTCAGGGTTTTTGCGCGTGTTTTGATCGATCTCATTTCGCGGTTCGCGGTTCGCCGGTTCGCTTTTCATGACCTCTTTTGTTCGGTTCGTTTTTCTCTGTCCCTGCTTCTTATCATCGCTGCGTGGAGCTTTTGGACTCCCTCCGCCTATTCCCCCTCCCCCGTGCTTTTCTCTGGCCTCTGCAAAATAAACGAAAGTGTAAAGCGAACTTGCTTTCGTGCCCGGTCATCACCCGTGTGTGTGCATACCGTGCTTTCAAACAAATGCTCGAGTTTTCTGGGGAAGGTGGAGACCCAACTGTTTCGGAGGGGGGGGGGGGGGGGGGGGGGGAAGTTTGGTGAAAAAACGGGGGGGTTTGACCCGAGAGCCCACCCCCGTGG